ACCACCACTACTACCACCACCACCCATTCGCTACCACCGACCACCGTCACCCACCCACCCACTACCCACCACCACCCCCCCCCCGCCGCTACCACCACCACCACCCACTCGCTACCACCCGCCACCCGCCACCGTCACCCACCCACTCGCCACCACCAGCTACCCACCACCAACTGTCTTCTGCCGTCACTTGTCACCACTTGCCATTTCTCACTATTTTTTATATTTTTAAATTTTTTTAAACATTTTGTCAATTACCACACGCGTTTGTAGTTTATGTTTTTCTAAAAATAAACAAAAACCAGTTTATAAAATTTTTGTAAATATAAACTGAAAACGTAAACGTTACCAAACACACCCTAAATGTGCGTTTGTATTTTCAGCAAGGGCGAATTACACTAACAGTCTTTATAGTTTGGAACTCGTGTCACTTTGGTCTTTAATTTTTTAATTGTAACATATTTCATCATGAATTTTGAATCTTGTTTCAAATCAGGACAATTGAAATTACTTAATTTCATGGGTAAAATAGTTAATTTGATAAAATATAAACTAATTTGATAAAAATAAAGTCAAAAAAATATTTTTTATTTTTTAAAAATTATTTCTACTCACTAAAGATAAAATTATGTAAACTTGATAAATCTTATAAACATTTTTTTTTGCCAAATTAATTTTTAATATGTGTTTCGATGATGATCATGTAATGGGTACTTGTTAGGATTTAATGTGTAATTGATATATTTAATATATGAAATGTTTTTAGTTTTGGATTTTTTGATTTAATGGATTGGTTTAAAATTGATATTAAAGTTGTCTCCATATTTGACTTTTAGAAAAATAAAAATTAATTTAATAAAAATAAAAACAACCACTCATTACATGATCACCATCCAAACATATAATAAAAATTAATTTGGTAAAAAAAAAAATGTCTAAAAGATTTATCAAGTTTACATAATTTTATCTTTAGTGGGTAGAAATAATTTTTAAAAATTCAAAAATATTTTTTTGACATTTATTTTTGTCAAATTAGTTTATATTTTATCAAATTAACTATTTTGCCCTTAAAATTAAGCAATAGTATTTTCAATTGTCCTTATTTGATACAATGTTCAAAATTCAGGATCAAATATGTCACAATTAAAAATCAAGATCAAATAGTCTAATTTACCCTTTCAGCAACTATTCCATCTTCTCCTGTTGGTGCTGGCTAATCAAGGACTTATGTTGCCTCGGATGATGTGAAAATTTGGATCGAGTATTTTGTTTTCGGATTCAATTTTGGTTGAAGGGAGTTCTCTATTATTATGAGTAATGTGACTTTTTGGTTATGTTTATGACTCATTTATAAATGAATTATTATACGTAGAGTGCAGAATGATGTTTTTCATTTCGTAGATTTGGCAGTAAATAGTTTGTCAATTATTGGCTTAACCGTAATAATCATGCTTTTGAATTTTATAAGTTAATGTAATTAGTAAATATAGAATAAAGTATTGCTCTACTTCAAAAGTTAAATTCATTGATTATCAATATTAGATAAATATAATTTTTAAGATAGATGACCATCCACTCCCCGTTTAAATCATATAAATGGGTTCAAAATGGTCTCACTGCAGGGTACAACACTCCTAATATTCGTTTGAGGCACAACAAAATTCCAAAAAGCATTTCTATTTTTTTTCCCATCAAATTTAATTTCTTTAATCAAATTTGATGAAAAAAGTAATTAGAATTTTCATAAAATTTTAATAAAAATTTGATGAAAGAATTGAAATATTTTCTATTAAATCAAATTTCTTAGACAAATTTAAATCAAATTGGATAAGAAATTTGATAAAGGGTTAAGGATACTTTAACTAGTGCTATTTTAAAAATTGCATCTTTCAACAAACAAACTTCCAAATACCCCCAAATTTGATGATCCCGTTTAACAAATCCAAAATTGACAATACGAAACCCCAATTTGAAGAACCCTTGACAATCAACTTCCAAGACTTCAGTATCATCAAAAACAATTCTTCACCATTTCATTCAATTCAAAGCCTTGATCACTTGCAAATCGTCTCTCTCAGTTAGGGGCGTGCGTCGTACATTTCCAGTGGTTTGAGGGTAAAATTATAAATCAAATGGCAGATTGACAAATCGTGGTTTAGATGATTTTGAAAGGATTGATGGATTGAAAAATATTTTAACTAATTATCAAACATTTACATAATATATAATGCTAATTTGCATAATATTTTTCATACTTATAATATAAACTAATTTTACATAATATGTTTTATATATATAACTATTAATTTGTAACAAGTTTCACATCTTAAATCTCTCTCATACTCATTTTTACTTTGATATTTTAAAAAATATATATGTATTAATTATAGCAGAGTGGAGTGGTTTCAAAGGCGGATTATAAATTTTAAAATTTAATCCGCGATTAGCGGATAGAGCGGTGCGGATTGATGTCGATCAGTGCGATTTTAACGGATTGGATAGTATTTTGCACAATTCTATCTTTAGTATCGAATTCATGTTTAATTTCTTGCATCAAAAGTTTTTTTTCCCCCTAGTCTTTTTCTTGCAGGACTATGATCAATATTCAATAGCCACTTTGCTGTTATTTTTCAGTTTCATATAATTAAATATTTTTTTTCAACAGATAAAAGCAGATAGGGGAAAGGAATGGGAAGCTGCGTAACAGGAAGATTCGAATCCAAGCATGACACACGCGTGTCACTTGGTAAAATTTGATAATCTCTCCTAGAAATGCAATTTGAAATTTATTTATCGGTGATAAAGTTGCTTATACATTTAGCAAACAAGTTATACTTGTTTAATTTCTTGCATCAAGACCCTTTGTGGATGTTATCAAGTTGTTAAAAAATCAGAATCTCAGTTGGAATCATTAGGAGCAACTTGTTGATCGAATCATAGAATCAAATCGAGAACTATAAGATTTTGCTTTTAGTACAAAATAAATTATAGATGAACAAAAAAAAAAAAATAGAGACAATTAAATTCTAAGAGCATCTCCAACCACATTCTTTATTTTTCACTAACTAAAGTACAAAAAAAGGACACTCTTTATTTTACCTAATTAGTTTCGCTATTATGTATTCGAATCATACTCTTTATTTTAAATAGTCATTCAAATTAACTTAGGATAGACTTAAAATTCGTTGACTATGTGTTCTTTGGTTATGCATAGATTAGTTGTGCATATCGTTGGTTTCTTGTGCAAAAAATTGTAAGTTTAGATATACACAAGAATTCCATCTTGGAGTCAAGTGATTTTCTTTGAAAAACATGTTTCTGTACTGAACCCAAAGAATGGGGGGTTGAGTTCCATTAAGCAAACTGATGACCCTGATCAAGAGATGAGCCTGAAGAAGTAAAAAGGCTAGGACTTTAAAGT